TTTTTTTTTTTTTTTTTTTTTTGATAATTTGTAGTGGAGGTCTGTATTTAGTGAAGTGGGTTGGTTTGATTTTCTTGTATATCCTTCTCTTTTGATCAGAATTTGTCTCCACCTCTTGAAATTATGGTGGGTTTTGGCTCATAATGCTTCTGCGCTCAAGTTAGGGTTCGTCCCAAATTTTGATTTCGATCTTCGAGCTGTATGGCATTGCTTATTATTGAATTCCTTTTTTCTTTGTGTTTCTTTGCTTCTGGCATCGTTTGGATATTGATTGTAGTTGAATATTACCTGCAGGCGTGAAAAATTAGGGTTCTAAGCCATATTTTCTTTTTCTTTATTAGGGCTTGATTTTGTTTGGTTGAGCATTCAAGCCTAGAAAATGTTCATTGTTCTTCAACTGGTTGTACTTTAGGGATAAATTTGACAAATGATTACAAGTTCTTGATTTTGTTCTTGTTTTTCCTTCATGTTATGTAGGATTGTGAGGATATCTCTTTGCTGCGGGTATCACGCATGACACAGGAGTGTATCAGATGGCTATTGTATTGTAGCATGAGGAGAGTTTATAATTTCAAGTTATTACATGTTAAAACAAGGAACTAGTATAACTCATGCGGTTCCTTGTTTATTGCAATCGTTAGAAAGCTTTTGCCGATATTGCTGTCGGTTCGTTCGTCTCACGATCTCGAACAATAGTTAAATTCAACGAAATTCTTATTTCATGGGTAATAAGCTCGGAAGGCGGAGACAAATGGTTGATGAGAAGTATACAAGGCCTCAAGGGCTTTACAACCATAAAGAAGTGGATCATAAGAAACTTAGGAAACTCATACTTGAATCAAAGCTCGCTCCATGTTATCCGGGAGATGAAGAATCCGCGTCTGATCTTGAAGAATGCCCCATATGCTTTCTGGTTTGTCATCGCTCTTGATGGCTTTGTCTCGTTCATTTTTTTCCTTGTCTTCTTCATTGGTCTCATTCATTTTTTGCCCTTCTGTTTCAGTATTATCCAAGTCTCAATCGATCGAGATGTTGCATGAAAAGCATTTGTACAGGTACGTATAGCGGGAGAAATTCGACAAATGATTTATGATATGAATTCATTCAGTCTGATTTCGCTTCTTTTTCCAGAATGTTTTCTACAGATGAAAGTTCCGAATTCCACCCGGCCTACACAGTATCCTTTTTCACGACTCTCGTACCTCCGTATTGCTTTTTTAGTTTACTTTAAAGCTTTACTTCATCAATGGCATGCTTGTATATCTTAACTTGATGAGGTGCCCCTTTTGCAAAACCTCGAATTATGCTGTGGAGTATAGAGGTGTGAAATCAAAAGAAGAGAAGAGCTTGGAGCAAATTGTAAGACTCGATAATGTCGTATTTGGTATTGTTTTTTTATTAGAACTAAGGGATATCTAAATCTTCTGTCCCGATTGAAACCTACCAGGAAGAACAGCGTGTTATAGAAGCAAAGATTAGAATACGACAGCAGGAACTTCAGGATGATGAGGAAAGAATGCAGAAAAGACTTGAATTAAGTACCTCAAATGCCGGTACTAATGTCGAGGACGGTGAAGACAGCCCTGCAGCTGGTAGGCTTTTACATCGTTCAGGTGTTTCGTTAGTGAAATTCTTTTCTCGTTTCTGATTATTTATCATCGTTTTGCGTGCTTCATTTTTCCAGTTCCATCTTCTCAATCTCCTGCCGAAGATGAGGAAACGGTTAGCTTGCAAGATTCTTGTATGACCCAAATCAGATCGCCACCGCCTCCTATTCCTATTAGAAGCAACAGGTTCTTTTCGTTCTGTTCTGATTTTGCATACATGAACGCATTTTGATTTTCTTTACTTCAAATACGTTTCTGCAAATGATCACTCTCTCTCTCTCACACACACGTGCGCACAAAATTTTAACAGTCATCGAATAATTTACGAATTTGAACCCTTCAAAATGATTTCTACTGAACATAGCTCTTCCAGTAATTTTAACTTTCACTCGTTGCTTAATTTCCTTACCTGCATTTTGGACAGAGAATAACTTGTTTTCTCCACATATTTAAGGTATTTATCTGTAATGAACACTTGGTGGGTATCTAGACACCCCTTAAGAAAGCTCTCTAATACACTTGATTTTTTAAAAAGATATAATTTAGCGTTAGCTACCCGAAATGGTCAGATGGGAAACAAGTGATACCTAGCATGTCCTTATTATCACTAGATCCAACATAAAAGCATATTTTCTCTAGCTTTTGAGAGGGTAAGGACGATATCAATTCCGATCACTTGCAATTTACAAATGATTCGAATGTTTAGTATGGATGATGAGGAAAGATTACTGAATCAAATGATATTCCTTGATCTTATTAATTGGAGTGTCACATACTTGCCTCCTAATAATGGTGGTGGTCTTGGTCCGAACTTTGGAAGCACAGTGTCATTTTGGTGGTTCATGAAATAGGGTAGGCTCATTAGTGGAAGAAACCATTGGGGTTTCTTAGGGAAGAATAATTTGCAAGTTGAGTAGTTTTCTTCTTTTTGAGATAGATAGGCTGTAGTAACAAGATGGAGGGCTCTACTAATGTTTTACTGAATAAGTGGTGGTGTAAGGTCACAACCATACTATAAATAGAGTAGGTTGTGCCCCTCACGTATAGACAAACAAAGGAGCGACACGGAAGCAGCGCCCAACCGGCCATGCAAGGGCTGAGACAAGATAAGTGTTATTCATGTGGGATTTTTTCAGATTTTGCGGGATCGAGGAGGACGGTGCATCATTTGAAAGATGTACAGTGAAGCTAAGATGGGGCATAGCCAAGATAGAGATAACAAGTAGACAAGAGTGTTAAAGATAGGCTTGATTAGGGTCAGGTAGGGCAACAAGCCTTAATCTCAAAAGTTGGGGGTTTGGAAGGAGTTTGGGCAGGTGGCTTTGGAGTTAAGTCCGTCTATATGAAAGATGGAAGCTTGCCAAATTTGGTATCAATTGGACACTAGACGGTCGCTCCATGACATCGTATAACTGTTCGTTAAAATTATGTTTGCTCTTGCGAAACCAAAAATGCGTAAGAAGGTATTATAGGGAGAGGCATGGTGTCCAACTCTCCACCATCCTTGGGCCCCATGCCTAAGCAAGCTACTTTATGGAACATATCTGTGTGTGTCACAATTTGGGCGAGCATTGCAATACGAATGTCTCAGGTGACTTCTTTGAAATGGGTCTTTCAAGGGCAATGTCGGACGACGCGGGTGTGCTGACATTGCGCCCTCGTCCATGTGTCGGAAGTGGTATATCCACCCCCTATTAGGTACGAAATCCGTAAATGACTTAGCATGGACACGGTAGGGTCTATGCCTCTGAAACCCGGGTGGAAGGCCAGTTCTTGATAGTATGTCCAAGCGAGCTATAATGGTGATGACATCCCGAGACTTGGGATGACATCATGATATGTGGTCCATATTGTTGAGAACTAAGATGACAAAATGAGATGCAACATTGCATGGAAGAGATCTTGACCCCAGGTAAAGGCAAGGTCGAATCAGATGAATTGGCTTAGTGCAGAGGCAAGTCAGATAGAGTCATAAACGATTGAACATGCACGCACGTGTGCATGTGTTGTTAAATAAACTTAGACTCCGCCTGAGTTGTTCAGTTGAGGAAGATATACCTCGCCTAAGGTTAGACGAAACCACAAAGCTGGACGAAAGATGTGAACGAGGCTTGAGTTTTCCTTAAGGCTTGTCAAGGAAATGCAATATGTCCTATCAAATCTTTTTGTAGCCTTTTCCTTGGCTTTTTACATGTTGTGTCCCTACTTTATGAGATGGTTGGTTTTTCTGGCTGCTATCTAATAATCTCCCATTTAGAACTTTCAGGGATGATGAATTTGACCTCGATCTTGAGGACATAATGGTCATGGAAGCAATCTGGCTCTCGATTCAGGTAAATACCTCGACGTAATGTTGTCCCAACGAGTTTTAACATCTATTATATAGTCTATGGAGCCTGAAAATTTTGATGTACTCTAGTGCTAAACCGACCAAGCAATGGTTAACGTTGTGTAGTAGCTGTTATCACGTTCCAATTACTGAGTAGGGTATGGTTTTGTTCATCTTCACTGTATTAAACTGTATAAAAATTTGAAATCTTCAGGAGAAAGGAAGGCATAAAGATCCAGTGTACGCTGAGGCTGCTTCTTCTGATCAATATGCTGCAACAGAAGGTCGATATATCTCTCCAGCCGCCATTCCGTTAGCTGGAACATCATCGTCGTCCCCGTCTGGAGGTCTTGCTTGTGCCATAGCTGCTCTTGCAGAGCAGCAGCAGATGGGTAGAGGACCGTCACCCACTTGCACGAATGGAGATTCACCCGTCTTCAACATGCTTCCTGGAGCCACGGAATTCTACAGCAGGATGAACGCCAATGAAGAAAACTATCCACCCGCGCAAGTCTCGATCAACTCAGAAAGTTATGCACCTGCACAAGTTTCAATCGACACGGTACCAGACTGTAGGATGATGTTAACAAGAAATGAGGGAGAGTGGAATCTTGATCATCAATCAGAAGAAGCTGAAGCTGGGACGAGCTACCCGACATCGGATTCAACCAAAGACAATGGTACTGAACCGACAGCCAATGCTATGGATGGTGGAAACCAAGCGACAATGCCGATCATTCCTCAGAATTTTGAAGAGCAGATGATGCTCGCCATGGCTGTTTCTCTAGCAGAGGCTCGAGAAGTGTGTACTGGACCAGGTCATTCCTGGCAGCAGTGACTCTGATCATATCTAAACTCGAACATTCGGATGTAGCCAATATAAACATAGCTGAGCTACAAGCTAGAGAATGCACACAAGGAGTGGCATGATGTTTGGTCAAAAGTGAAGGTAGCAACTCCTCTCCGCTCGGCCCCTCGCGTGAAAAACGAAAAAAAAAAAAAAAAGGAATCAAATTCTTTTAGTGAGTTAAAAATTTGGTGGTTCATTCAAGTTCATGCTTGGAAATATTTCCTATTTTTTTTTTTTTCAATGATTGAAATCTTGTTTCAGTTTATAATGTTGTATGGTCTCTATATGTAAAGTATGTCTCCCAGATCCATTCACGTTATGACAATCCTTGCCTATCAAATGCTTCTTCTTATTCAATGTTCTTCGATCATAATTTCAACGGTAATCGATGTCTTATCTATCAAGATCGAATGTCCAGATTGGAACTATTTGAAGATGTGAAAGAACATCCAGAAGTGGCAAAAGTTGAAACTTGTGGACAAAGTTGAAACTTGTGGACGTCCTTCACTCCATGGCTCATCCCTTTATAGTGAATCTTTCTCATTCTCTCATTTCCATTAGCAATCAATCACCTTGAGGAATTCCCCATGGCGATGGCCGCCATTGAAATGCTCAAGCTCTCGCTTCTCACAACCCTAATCCTTTTGATCCTCAGGCCCGCCTACTCGGAGCTTCCTCCGTCGTGCAAGCGCATCGAGTGCCCTAGCTACGACGTCATCGACTCCGGCAAAGGGTTCGAGATTCGGCGCTATGATTCCTCTGTTTGGGCCTCCACCGCTCCAATTCCTGATATTTCTCTCCATGAAGCCACCAGAACAGGATTTCTCAAGTAAATTACACTTTCTTTTCTCATCTGATTTCATTCATTTTACTTCCATATATGATATCTGTTACAGATTAGGTTTCTCCGATTTTGCTAACCTAACTTATGAACAAATTCATCTTCCACTTCACATATTCAAATTCCTATCAGCTCCATAGATACTTCAAGATTACTAAGAAATTTCTGCAATATCTCTCTTGGTTGAAATTCATTAGCCATCTTGAGCAGTTCATCTAGTTTGTCTAAGGCATTCTATCAATTATATGGAGAAAATTGAACAATCTCTTGCAGGTGCTATAGTAATTCCTTTTGAATTAAACTAATACAAATCTAGGAGTTCATGAGACTGAAACAGGGGTAGGTCTTTAGCTTGGCTATCGGCCTGTCTTTTTTTCTTTTTCGCAAAGTTTTGGTAACCGGTAGACAATAGAGTCAGTTCGTTGATAGCCGCAAGCAAGCGTAGTAGGCCCTGAACCCAATCGAACTATGTCTATCCCCAACTTCATTGTCTTGACTTGTTTATGGTGAAATTAGTCTAAAAGAAGGAAAGAACACGGGATCACTATTTAGTCGAATGAGTCTATCCTAGGTCAAAGGTTAAGGTATCAACATCTAAAAATGAGGTGTTGATTGACCATTGATTGAAAAGCCCACTTCTCTCTGACAAAGCAACTTTCCGAAATAGAGTAGAGCGTGAGGGCAGAAAGACGACTACAACAATTGGAACTATCTCGCTGGAACACCTAGAATTGCCAAATCTCTCTCTTTTACGCTCGAGAGTGAAATTCTCACGAGAAGAAGAAGCTCTTCTCTTAGCTATGACGAGAGCTCAAAATTCTCCACAAAAAGTCCTTGAATTAAATGAATATAAGTTTTGTTATTTTCACGTTCAAGTTTCTAAACTTTCAATTCATTAGATCACATTGTTTATTTCATTAGATTGTTCGATTACATTCAAGGAAAGAACAAGTACAACGAAAAGATAGAGATGACTGCACCGGTGCTCACAGAGGTTTCTCCGAGCGACGGACCCTTTTGTGAATCATCATTCGTGGTTAGCTTCTACGTGCCGAAAGTGAACCAAGCAGACCCTCCACCAGCCAAGGGGCTTCACATTCAGAGATGGAAAGAAACACACGTCGCAGTAAGACAATTTGGAGGGTTTGTGTCTGATGCGACAATTGGAGCTGAGGCTGCTGCGTTGGATGAGAGTGTTTTCGACACAAAGTGGGCAGCAGCCATCAGCAAGAGCCGTGGCGCTGGCGGTGCTGCCATTTACACAGTGGCTCAGTACAACTCCCCTTTTGAGTTTGAAGGTCGTGTCAATGAGATTTGGTTCTTGTTTGATATTGAAGATGCTGCTGCTGATGCTGCTGCTCAGGCTTAGAAACTGATGTCTGGAATCTTCATATAGTAAGTAAAATGTATGAAGACTTCAAACTTTTTCTGTTCTTGTTCATGAATCCTTCAATAAAATGTTCGAGTTCTACACATTGATCTTTGTAACTTGGATTCAAATGTTCGGGTCTTTCTAAAGGTTTTCCACACCCTTATATGTGTGGTACAACTCTCCACAATGGTATGATATTGAGACCTTCGAGGAGTCACTCCCTTTTTCTTTTGGAGTGCTTTGTACGACATTTGGGGATTCTATTAACATGGTTAAGACTCTAGTACCATGTTAGATGAACACGATTCTCCATAATGGTATGATATTGTCCACTTTAAACATAAACCCTCGTGGCTTTGCTTTGGGCTTTCCAAAAGGGCTCATCATACCAATGAAGAGAGTATTCATTGATTATAAACTCATGGTCATTCCTTAAATTAGCCGACGTGCGACTTTCATCCAACATTAGCTACATTCGTCATTATTACCGTAGAATTTAAAAAACTCCATTTAGTTTCATGCTACAAAATACCCTCCGATAAAGTTTCTCGATCGGGTATCAGCTCTAAATTTTCAAATTCCATGAATCCTTCTATGGTGAACAAAAAGATGGAGCCCGTCTGTCGTATGAGGTGGGGTAAAGCTAGAGCGGTGATAAGGGACCCTAGCGGGTCCGAGATAGGAGTAAATCTCTATCGACGTCTCCCCTACTCGTTGTCATCCCAATATTTAAATAAAATTAATTAAAAAGAAAAAAGAAAAAGAAAGGTGGCACGTTTTAGGGACCAAAAATGAGACAAGGAAGATGTGGAAAGGGAAAGGGTGTGTGACCACACGGAATCATACGCGCATTGCCGCCTGCGCCCTCACCATTGCTTACACTGCTCCCTCCCTCTCTTCATCTTTCCCTCATTTCTCTCTCTCCTCTCTATTAATAAATTATCACATTTAAATCATTCATTATTTTCTTTTTCTTATTAATCAATCATATATATATATATATATATATATATATAATATTTAGTCCGATTCTTAAATAAGTATCTTAAAAAGTCGGTTTGACGTGTCAGATTCCAATGTAATGGATCGTACCCGCATTAGATGAGAAGAGAAATTCATTATAGATTTCATGTCGTGATATTTTAAGATATATCACTTGTAGAGACGAGGCACATTACATCGAAAGTGAAGTGTTAAAGGAGTAAGAGATGTCTACACGAGCATAACTCAATAGAGTTACAGTAAATGAAGGAATCGAAAAGGAAAAAAGAACCCATTTAATAGTACGAGATTTTGGGTTAAGAAATAGAGACATTGTAGATCGAAACCATATAACTTTGTTTAAGTGTTTTATTTTAGGCAAGACATTTGATCACGTGAATAGGTGGACCCATGTGTTCATAGTTATCTCAAAGTATATTAAAAAGGGCACTTCCCTTTTGTTTTGTTGACTCAAAGCACCTTTTTCGAGAAACCCATAAGAAAGTCAAATTTGTGCTTTAGCTTATCGATTAAGAAACCCATAATAAGAAAGTTGTTTTTTCAACTTTCTAAGAAAAATGGTCAATACATTTATTGAAAACCAGGCGACTAAAATGAATCAGATACCTAAATAGACATTTCAACCTAAAAAAAGTCAAATCTGTGCTTCTTCTTGTTGACTAAGAAACTCATAATAAGAAAGTTGTTTTTTTAACGTTCTAATAAAAAGGGTCAATAAATTTATTGAAACAAGGCTGACTAAAATGAATCAGATACCTAAATAAGTATTTCAACCTAAAAAAAAAGTCAAATTTGTGCTTTAGCTCATTGACTAAGAAACCCATAATAAGAAAGTTGTTTTTTCAACGTTCTAAGAAAAAGGGTCAATAAATTTATTGAAACCGCACGACTAAAATGAATCAGATACTTAAATAGACATTTAAACCTAAAAAAAGTCAAATTTGTGCTTCTTCTTGTTGACTAAGAAACCCATAATAAGAAAGTTGTTTTTTTTAACGTTCTAATAAAAAGGGTCAATAAATTTATTGAAACAAGGCGACTAAAATGAATAAGATACCTAAATAAGTATTTCAACCTAAAAAAAAAGTCAAATTTGTGCTTTAGCTCATTGACTAAGAAACCCATAATAAGAAAGTTGTTTTTTCAACGTTCTAAGAAAAAGGGTCAATAAATTTATTGAAACCGCGACTAAAATGAATCAGATACTTAAATAGACATTTCAACCTAAAAAAAGTCAAATTTGTGCTTCTTCTTGTTGACTAAGAAACCCATAATAAGAAAGTTGTTTTTTTTAACGTTCTAATAAAAAGGGTCAATAAATTTATTGAAACAAGGCGACTAAAATGAATAAGATACCTAAATAAGTATTTCAACCTAAAAAAAAAGTCAAATTTGTGCTTTAGCTCATTGACTAAGAAACCCATAATAAGAAAGTTGTTTTTTCAACGTTCTAAGAAAAAGGGTCAATAAATTTATTACTAAGAAACCCATAATAAGAAAGTTGTTTTTTCAACGTTCTAAGAAAAAGGGTCAATAAATTTATTGAAAAGAAACCCATAATAAGAAAGTTGTTTTTTCAACGTTCTAAGAAAAAGGGTCAATAAATTTATTGAAACCGCACGACTAAAATGAATCAGATACTTAAATAGACATTTAAACCTAAAAAAAGTCAAATTTGTGCTTCTTCTTGTTGACTAAGAAACCCATAATAAGAAAGTTGTTTTTTTTAACGTTCTAATAAAAAGGGTCAATAAATTTATTGAAACAAGGCGACTAAAATGAATAAGATACCTAAATAAGTATTTCAACCTAAAAAAAAAGTCAAATTTGTGCTTTAGCTCATTGACTAAGAAACCCATAATAAGAAAGTTGTTTTTTCAACGTTCTAAGAAAAAGGGTCAATAAATTTATTACTAAGAAACCCATAATAAGAAAGTTGTTTTTTCAACGTTCTAAGAAAAAGGGTCAATAAATTTATTGAAAAGAAACCCATAATAAGAAAGTTGTTTTTTCAACGTTCTAAGAAAAAGGGTCAATAAATTTATTGAACCCGCGACTAAAATGAATCAGATACTTAAATAGACATTTCAACCTAAAAAAAGTCAAATTTGTGCTTCTTCTTGTTGACTAAGAAACCCATAATAAGAAAGTTGTTTTTTCAACGTTCTAAGAAAAAGGGTCAATAAATTTATTGAAACCGCGCACTAAAATGAATCAGATACTTAAATAGACATTTCAACCTAAAAAAAGTCAAATTTGTGCTTTTTTTTGTTGACTAAGAAACCCATAATAAGAAAGTTGTTTTTTTTTAACGTTCTAATAAAACGGGTCAATAAATTTATTGAAACAAGGCGACTAAAATGAATAAGATACCTAAATAAGTATTTCAACCTAAAAAAAAGTCAAATTTGTGTTTTAGCTCATTGACTAAGAAACCCATAATAAGAAAGTTGTTTTTTCAACGTTCTAAGAAAAATGGTCAATAAATTTATTGAAACTACTGCCTTAGAGACCTAAATCAAAAACATTGGACCAAAAAGTTGAAATTTTTTGAAATATTCAAAGATTAGAATATAATTCAGACAAATTTTGACAACACACATTGGCTATTACTTACACATCCTCGTTTCTCACAAATATACATCTCGAGACAACAACCCTTCTTTTCGAGAACTCCCACGTTTCTTACAAACACCAACGTGTTGTACTATTTTTGACAACTCATAATACCCAAAAGAAAAAACAGTAATACCTTTTGTATTAAGAAGACTACACGGATAACAAACTAAAAAGAAAAACACTCACTGATTAGTTAACTAACTAACAGATCAGATGTTCGAATCCTGTCACCTCTATTTATCGTTGAACTAAACTATCCAAAAGCTAACAGTTAGAGACCGAAAGTTCATCTCGACACGTTCATACGTTGTTGAACCGAACTACTATCCGAACATCTCCGACCCTAATTTTGGATAAAGATTATGAGGCTGCAATTCTTTCAAAGGGCACAAGCCTGTTGTCAGCCAACCTGGAGTTGTAAGCTGATCTTTTGTACTCAAACCATGTAAACTCTTTGTACAAACTTCTTTCTTCTCCTTGCATAAGGGAAGCTAAAGGAGCTATCTTTTCACTCAACGGTGGCCCACCGAAGTAGATCATTGAAACCCTTGACTTCGAGCTGTTTGTCAAAACCCTATGCTTCACACTTTTGAATCTTCCATTAGTCATCACCTTCATCAACACAAAAAGTTTCATTATTTTAATGAAGAACATGGTGGGTGATGTTTTTTTGGAAAACCCAGATGGGAAAAACCTCAAATTTTGAATCTTCTTTGATTATCAAGAACAGAGGCTGTCGTGTTTATTGTACCTGTAAAGAGTCACCAACATTGATGAAGAAGGAGCTGTGATCGGGAGGAACAGATATCCAATTCCCATCTGCGAGAGAGATTTGAAATCCAGAAGTGTTGTTTGATCTCAAAACTGAAATGATTTGAGGGTCTGTGTGTTCTCCAAATCCAATCATGTTTGTTCCTTTTAAAGCTTGAAGGTCTGGACATGGCGGATAATGGTTCACTCTGAAAACAGAGTCGCTCTGTTCATCCATCACGAGCTTACTGAACACGTTTCGTTGTTGAATCTTCAACCCTTCCGCCATTAGCTCGAGGATTTCACCCGCCATGTTCCTCACAGCCGAGATGTAATCGTTCACAGCAGAGCTAAAACGTAGAAAAAGAGAACAGAGAGAGGAAAAAAAACAGAGTATAAGAAACAGAGTGAAAAATAGAGCATTCTGGGAAAATGGGGATTTGGGTGTTTTGGTTACCGGAGTTTTTGTGGGTCTTGGCCGAAAATGGAGAGGAACCCATCGGAGTTGGATTCGAGATGAGTGTTCAAGAGGAGATATTCAACCCAACCGACATCGCCATTGCGGCCAATTTGTTTGTTTCCATAGCCAAAAGGGGAAGGAGGGCCAGCTCTCTGTTTTTCAGAGAGGGGAAGGGAGAAGAATTTGGTGGATTCTGATTCAAGAGAGGAGATTAATTCCATGGGGACACCATGTTTGACAACCTTAAAGAATCCGAGTTCTTCACAAGCTTTGACAATGAGTTGTTTAGCATCTGGTGCAGAGAGGTCTATCAATGGAATCCCAGAGTAGAATGCTGCAGAGAAAGAAGAAGCAGCCGCCATGGACGTGGAGCTTCTCATTAAGGAATCAAAAGACAACTGTTGGATTGCTGGAAAGTTTTGAGAGAAGAAGAAGAACAACAACAACAAGAATGTATGAAAAGTTTCCCTTTTTCTCCTTCTTCTTTAAAGAAACAGAGGAAGAAGAAATGCAGTGTGGAAAGAGGGAGGGAGAGGGGAAGGGTATTTATAAGAGAGAGAGAGGGGTAAAATGGGGATTTGTGGAGAGAGAAAGAGGAGAGAGAGAGAGAGAGAGGTTTTTGTTTGATGTTAAGCTGTTTTGTTTACGCATAGAAAGATGGGGTTTTTACCTTCTACATTAAAATGGTGATCATCTTTCAGCAGCACACAGATAACTCAGATTTTGTGCCACTAAAATAGACACGACACACTTATTGTATTAAAAGGAATTGGTCACATCAACTAGATTCCTTGTATACTTATCCATTGTTTTTCTTTCCCTTTCAATTCCATCCGTCGGCGGCGATATAAACAGACCAAAACGAACAGTATCTAATAGTAATGGGCTTGGGTTGTTATAAATGGTATCATAGTTAGACACCGGTGTGTTAGCTAGGACGCTGGGCCTCCAAGTGGATGGATTGTGAGATCCCACGTCGGTTGGAGAGAGGAATAAAACATTCCTTCCTAGAGTGTGAAAACCTCTCACGATGACGATACGTAAGAACATTATGTTGGTATGATGAGTAGATGGAGTGAACTTTATGAAACATTGATCTCCATAAGAACGTCGTTTGATTTTGCTTTAATGGTCTCTTGTTTTGTCAATTCCAATCTTTAAGTGTGTAGCCCATCAAAAATGGAAAAAAGGGGAAAAGTTTTAAGGGGAGGTTGAATTCTACTTTTACGGAGAAATATGCTCGTGTCTCGTGCCTCGTACCTTTTTGAATTGAAGGGCGACGTGAAAAGATAATATTTATGTAATTTATTATATTCCTATCAGAGAATCGATGGAAAGATTTTGAAAGAAATTCAAAGTGTTCGATACTATTTTTTCTCGGTTAGATAGAGATAGAGATATGGATTGACACAAATATCTAGTTAGGAAAGAGAAAGTGTGACGGGAAGTAACCAAAACCTCTTTAATGAGAGAAAGAACGGGAGACGTAGAGTAATCAACAACTTCTTCAAGATCAAGAGTATCTAGTACGTCTTAAGTCGTTAAAAGGGACGGTCCAAAATCCTCGAGGCACAACCTCTTCAGTTAGAGATAGAAAGAGAGATCAAAGCTATCCCGAGATTGATTACAACATTATTTATGATAACGAGAGATCGAAATGAATGGTGATTAGAACCTTTCAATTATAGAAAAGAGATAGAGAGTGACCAATACCTTCTTCCATTAGAAAGAAAACGAGAGATAAGGATTGATTGTTTTATTTCTAATACACATTAATTCATAATTCTACCCTCGGAAATGTCCTAACATTTACAAAATTGTTAAAATTTAAGCCATCTTTTCCGACCGACCCAAAGCAACTAATCAAATGTCCCACATACGTTTCCTACGACCATACCCACAAATCATTGTCACAAGATATGACCCCTAAGTCGAGCACTTATCCATCTCATTATGAATCATATCAACTAATCAAACGCCAATGACGAACAAATACCACACGAAAATTCGAACAAGTATAGAATTTGATCTCTATCAAATTTAATCGTTTCTAAATTTATTTATCTAAAACGTATTTAAAAATTCGATTAATCTAATCTAACTCAGCCCACACGAGCAATTTAGGTTACGTTGAACTTATTTGAACTAAACCAATCTGAATTTATTGTTAATTTTTGCTTACCATACAATTATATATACATATATTTATTTTTTAATTATTTATTTTTTAATTAATTAAAAAAAAACAATAAATAAAAATAATTGGGGAGAGGAGTGGGGCCCAGCATGAAGGAGGAGGTTGATATTTAAAGATCCTTTTTCGGACAAAAACCCTACCTTTTTAACAAATCCCCTTGCATTTTTTAATTTTAATAAATTAAAAAAAAAAATGCACACGTGTACAAAAGCGCGGACCCACGTCACTAATAACTAAATGTAAAATGGACGGTGACGCGGCCGACTTCCATTCGCAGTTTTCTTTGTCGGTCAATACTCACCCAAACAACTACCCATGTTTTTCTCTTATTTCTTAAAAACTATGGGTGTTTTTCTTGACGTGGCATATCCGTGTCAATATGCCACGTCATTATTTTTAATATTCCTCCTCGACATTTATTCATTAGTCTCCGTCATAAATGACGTGTGAATCCTAATTCAAATAGCTAATTAAAAAGATGTAACAATTAAAATTCAATCCGAACAAATATTATTCGTTTTAGTCTGTTACGTATCACTGTCAGTCTCATGATTTTAAAACATGTTTACTAGAGAATGACATATGATTGAAGGAGGAAAAGACGAGAAAATCGGACATTATTAAACCTTAAAAAGGCATGTAACAAAAATTGAGGTTGTTTGGTGTGTTTGGGTATGTATGCATGAACCTAACCATGGAACAAATAAATTTATGCCCCAAGAATTAAGTTTAGATAAATCTATTTTTAAAAAATAATAATAATTAAAATAAAAAATTAAAAAATATTTTTTTAATATGGATCTTAGATGTAGCTGAGTCAACTTCATAATCTTTCACTAAATTATATATATAATATAATATAATATAATGTTTAATCATTGTCACAATTATTTTGTTCTAAGAATATAGAATTTTATTCCATTATTGACCATATTTCATGTGTGCATGAACCTACCCATTTTCCCTTTAATATATTGGTACCACCAAACCTTTTTGACATTTAAGTTATGCACAATTATTTTCCTTTTTTTTTAAAAAAAAAAAAAATCTTTTACGTATAAATTTAAATATAGGATTAAAGATGGTTATTTAACCAGTAGAGTCGGGATGTTGTGGGGATGCTAGAATAGGGTGAGAAATATCCATTTGAAAGGAGAATGTGGGAGGACGTTGTAGAGAGAGATCTCTCCGTGTTTGGCAAACAAGGTCGAGAATAGGGATTATATTAATTGCCCTTGTCCTCGTCCCCGTCTTCGACTCTACCCAAATCGCAGGAACGAAGAAGGCTTCCTCATCCCGTTGAATTCTACTAGAATTTTCATGTTCGTATTTGATAGATCATTAAATTTTAAAAAATGACCAATTTAATTATTGGGTTGATGGGAGAATTTTATATTTGGATTAATGTTACCAAATAATTTGATAATTATATGATTTTAATTAAATTAATGGCTTGATTAATAATTGTCATGTTAGATTAATAAATTAATTAGTGAAATTGTCTCCATGTCTAGGAGGGTATGGTTTTGTGCATTATTATTATTATTATTTTAATATATGATAATTATAATCATTTGGATAAGGAGAGAATTTGGTTCATAATCATTGGTATAATGTTTTCATTCATATGATATGTTTTGTTGTCTAATCATCATTTAATTCCTTTCTTATTATTATAAAATATTTAAAATAAATAGATTTGATAAATCTAAAACGTGTCTAAATAATTTTTTTTCATATTATCCATTTTGACCCGTTACTTATCACTATCTACCTTACAGTTTTAAATCGTTTTACTTGAGAGAAATTTCCACACCATTATAAAGAATATTTGAAGTAAATGTCAATTACAGCTGAGTTATGTTCATATTGGTTTATACATGATTTTTAGAGTTGAGAAAGTACTTGTGACACCCGAGTAAAGAAGAGGTAAACGAATAAATTGAGCCCACGTCTAAATAAAAACGATATTGAGGATACGACGACTAAGAAAAGCTTAAAAAAATGAAAGTTACTATCTATATCAATAAGGTGAATATTTTTTTCGGTGGTTCAATTATAAAAACTTCACGGTTAAGCATGTTTTACTTGAAGCAACTATGTTTCTGGGATGCATGCGAGTGATGAAGAACTCGAGTTGGTTTGTCGGGATACCCTTAACTCATAATACCGTGATATTAAATTTCATTTAGAAATAGAGAGAGAAGATAAAAGAACAAGACATCCCCTTTGTCTATCTTCCTCTATTGTTTATTCGTCTCTAATTTTGTACATTTTCTTCCCTTCTCTCGTTGCATTAGTGATGTGCATGCTCGTGATTGTGACTCATTGCATTATCCTGACTCGATCAGATATGGTTTTTTATTTTTTTATTTATTCCTAAAAATCAACGCGAGTTCTTCCAATATGTTTTATCGTCACGCACATCGATCTTAAGAAAATTCCTACGAAGTCACCGAAGCACATTGAAACATATAATAAAATAACAATTAATTATAATTATTACCAAAATATTAGTATTTAAGTAAATTTTAAAAAGTGAAATAAATTAAAATTTATGATGGAAAAGATTGATGAGTGTGAGCCGACATGGAGACCGAAAATTTGGAATCTTATTTCTTATCTCTTTAGAATCTTATTAGCTCAAAAACTATATATACACGTGTCAAATTCTTTTTTTATAAAGAAAATAATAAATATAATAATAATTTCTTTTTCTCTTTACACTTTCAAATATTTTCGTGTTTTTTTTTATTTAAATGATCGAATTTGAATTGATTTTGATGTATAGTTTTCACTCTACAAATCTAAACATTTAAATTTGATCATCTAAATAACTTTAATGACTCCGTTTCGAATCATATTTTCGGACCCATGTCAATTAAAACATGTCGAGAAAATATATATATATATATATATATATATATATATATCAAACAAATCTACAAATCAAATCCCCTTTGGGCACAAATATATCCAATAAATCTCATATAGATTTTCATGCATATCTTCCACATGTCTTCCTATCCACACAAATAATAATAATAATAATAATAAATATTGTATTGTCACGCTTAAGTATAAGAGAGTAAGACAACATTTGAATGAGAGCGATTTTGAGAATATGAAATTATGGTTGAAAAGTATATTAAAAAAAACCTCAAGGAAATATATGAGTGAGAACAAAACATGTTAAAAGAACTTATGTTGGTTTACGAGATACCTCATGGTTTTAAAACATGTCCTGCTAGCCAGAACGTTGGCCCCCCAAAGGAGTTAGTTTGTGAGATCCCACATTAATTGAATAGAGAAACGAAGTATTTTTTATTAGGGTGTGAAAATCTCTTCCTAGTATACACATTTTAGAACAGTGAGGCTGACAATGATACATAACGGGAAAAAACAGACAATATCTACTAGCAATGCGCTTGAACTGTTAAACGATAAGTAAGTAATGTGATTATGTCGTGTGAGAATATCGGAGCTAGTCAGCTAGTCCTATTTCCATAGCCCATAGAAATGTATGTTCGTAAGACCCTAATTCTTCTTCCTTTTCATGATAAGGATTCTTTCACACTACATTTGAAGGATACCATTAAACATCGTCAAATTATAGATCGATTTCTATTAAAAAAAATCGATGATTCGATCTCCCGCCTTTTAATTATTAACGTAAAAAAGGAACAATTGTACTTCAAACATGAACTTTCTTAATCCGTACTAAATAACTGGAGAGACTAAAACATTTAACTAATATTAGTTATTATTTCACTCACTTTATGAAATCCAACATACTAATAATCTCAACCACAAAATCAAGTGAAAGGACAGCTGAATCTAATACCAAAATGCCCAACCATTGACAAAGTAACACTACCCAATGACAAGACTACTCAAATTTTGCTACATAAACCTATAGAGAAAAGAAAGAAGTTTCAGATAAAGATATCCACATGAAGTTTGATTCAATGAATTCAAAATATGAAAAAATAATTAAAAAGAACAATGGGTCCCCTTCGATGGATCAAAGTAAAGCGGAAGCAAGGAGTAGATAACATGACCATATTGTGAAAGATGTAGGAAAATATCGGGGCTATTAGATGCAAAATACATATTCTGAATCATGGACTAAATTATGTGTCTAGGTTGTTACAAATGGTATCAGATTGATACCTCGCTTAGTATGGTTTAGGACGAATTAAGGCGAAAATTGGTGGGCATGTATGTACATTTATCTCGACAGATCATTGAAAGAAATGTATATGAATGAACTAAAACCACATTCAAATGAAAGTAATTCTGAATATAGGATGATTAAGAAAAACTTAAAAGAAATGTAACCAACTATCTATACTAACAAAATATATCGTTCATTTTTTGTGGATGGACTCGTGTTGGTCTGTCGAGATAATCTTCACCCTTTAACATGATCATATCGCAGAGGAATGTCGAGACTATCAAATGTTAAATTCAAATTTTCAAGTCTTAGATATGGGTCATTACAGAAGTCAAAGCCAATAGATGAGTTAAACTATATTTGGGAGGACATAAACCTATTAATCTTACTAACTGCATAGATTTAAGTTTCTTAAAACTAACCCACATCATAGATTAACAAGAAAAGGTCACAACATCTAATAAAATCAAGATTTCTTAAGCCCATGCTTGCAACTTCTAGGTGCTACGTGAAGAAGGGGGAAACAATAATGGGAATGAAGAAAAGTGGAAGGAGTGCTTAAGAGGCCATGTGGGAAAGCTGGGAGAGAAGAGGAAGGCATCTTTCACTTTGTCATCTCAGAATAAGGGCTCAGAGTCAGTAAGTTGAGAAAGAAAGAAAGACAGAAAGTGGAAGATAAACAGAGATGGTGGGGGAGGATTGAGACATGGCAGCAGGTGTGTATCAAAACCAGAGCCATATGGTTATGGGGTTTTGCCAATTGGGGTCTGTGACTGAAAGTGAAGCAAACAAAGGCATTGTCATGTCTACTTAGCCACTTATCCACTGACATGATACTCTGACAAAGACCAGACCAGACCAGACCAGACCTGACCAGACCAAACCCACACACATACCCAAACTATACAAACAACACTGCCCCTTTTCCTTTTATCTCTCAGGCAACCAAATTTCAAGTAGCTGTTTAGGATGATTCTTTCTCTTGTTCTTCTTGAACTGATAAGAATTGACATTTGCTTCCGAGCTATGTACTTGCCTGCATTTTCTTCAAACTCACATGTTTCTTTTCCTATAAACAGATGCATAAACTTGCTTCATCATCTTCTATTTTACTTATATACCATGTGTTTCCGTCCATTTTCATTTGGTTTTAGACCAGGTTTAGAAAAAAGTTACTTTGATCTACCTTCACTCCAACTTTTGTTAGAAGACAGAGCTTCAGTTTCTTATTAGAGACCTAGAGGAGTCGTCTTAAAAATCTGGATTAAACGAGAAAACTCTAGTTAGAAGTTTAGCCTTGGCTAGTCATAAAGGTGGAATGAGCTCATCAAATCGTCTTGAACTTTAGTATAATTTTTGTGTTAGTGTTAGAATCATTGGAAACCACGGAAAGTTCTTGCTTGGAGTTAGGCTGATAGATGATCACATGTTCTTAGGACTAAGGGTTGTTCTTTCTAATAGGATTGCAAGTGGCATGAAGGTTTCTTTTAGTAGTTCTAGAGAAGTATATGTAAATTTGAATATTTGATGTTTACTTTGAATACACACAACGAGCACGAGATTATAATTGATTTTTCGGTATTTTTCTCAACGAGTGCAACTCATCCACCTTATTTTTTGTGTAAGTATTCTCTAATCTTTCTCTTCCCTCCAATAATTCTATCACGATATAAATTATAAACAGTAGAAAATTTTGGTTATGAGATTCAAACCTTCTATGGTTGATATTTCTTTATCTTAAACATAAAGTCACGAAGTCTTCGACCAATCTTATGGAACAAGTAAGATATTGCGCATAAACGACCGTTTCGTACTCAACCAACATTGGTAAAATACACCAAACAAAAGCTATGAATTGAAATAGACAATATCTGAGAAGCTTATGGCAAATCAAACCCACCAAACAAAAGCTATGTAAGTAATGGTGAAAATTAATGTGCGACATATTCACAGCATTGTTCTTCTTTTTGATAACCAGGAGTTAGAGCTTTGCTCCCTTATACACTCGGGAGCACCTGCACCCACCCCAAGACCCAGACCTGGGAGACAACAAGGGTTCTTGAATTTAATCCATGGGATCAAGCCGGTATGACCAAGAGACCCCAAGCTCTTGCCAACCAGGCTGCCCCTTGGGGCTATTCACTACACTGCTTTAAGCATAAGTGAACAAAGGCATCTCATCTAATTATGAGAGAAACAGGTATACTATATAAAGTAGAATTCTATATATAATATATATTCATGAGTATCCAGGCCCTTGGGCGTACCAAGACTAATTTCCATGTGTATCCAGGCCCATACCTTGACTATTTTCAAGGAACAACTGCCTAATTCTACTACATTTTGTTGTCAAGCTAGTTAGTAAGATATAAAATTTATGGTAAGTGGGCATCATGGCTTGGACGGGACCTGATTATTCAAAGCCTTTATTATTACTAGTTAAAAGGTTTGTTTAAATAAATCTGTTCTACTTTTGACCTTTAAATTTCAAATATTCTACTTCAATCAGTTATCATTCAAATGTTTTACTTTAGTTTTTAAATTGGCATATAATTTTTTTTTAATCCCTACTATTGATAATACATTAATTATTTAATATAAATCTATATGTTGTCACTATTTTTAATGCTTGTTCATGCAAACATCTACCCATTAGATTGAAAAAACAAATGACCTACAATCCTTTGGTGACAGACACTATAATGGCTCTGTATGCAAATTTAGAGTCAAAACCAAAATGTTCAAGGTTTAAGAACTAAAATGAAAGGAGTTCAAAATCTAACCGATAGAATTGTTCTTCTTTTTATATAAACAGCTTTAACCAATTTTCATTCAAATCCCATAAGCTTCTCAAATCTCTTATCTAGGCAAACATAATCGTTCTTAATCAGAGCATTACGAGAACCCCAATCGAATCCCTAACTTCAAGTGCTTGAAGACATTTATATGGATGAACCCAGAAGAACAAACCACATCAACATAAAGCAGGTTTTGACATTCAACTCATCAATGAACAGCCACAGTTAAGAAAATAATTCCTACTCCTCTGAATGTAATGAAATCTGAGAGCAGAAAGATCATACCTGATCCTTGTAGGCATAGTTTCCAGTTGAAGATGAACATGACTCAATCAGCTCCAGTCTTTACGTGAGACATTGACAGAGTTCATGACAGACTACAGATGAGGGAACAGATACAGCAATAGTTAGTCAAGCTAGTCTAATTAAAACAGTAACCCAAAAATTGTTCTCAAACGTCCCCCGTGTTTGTTGAACTCGTCTGTCCAATATACCGTCAAAGCAAACAAAAGCCTGCATAGATAGCTAAGTAAAAGGGTATCTGACTTCATACATAAATTCAAATGATTTCATCAGGATAACTGCAACGGTCCAGGCTCACCGCTAGCTGATATTGTCCTCTTTGGATTTTCTCCCCCTCAAGGTTTTTAAAACACGTCTGCTAGGAAAAGGTTTCAACCCTTATAAAGGGTGTTTTGTTCTCCTCCCCCAACCAATGTGAGATATCACAATAACTTTGGTGTGTGTGTGTTCCTCTACCAATTACTAGATATGTTCATATAAGAGATGCAAGCATACATGTCTTTAATTGTTGAAATTAGTAAGTAAAGAACATTAGATACTTCCACAGGGAGTAAGATAATCCCAGAAAACACCCTCAAACCAGTAAACCAGAAACATAAATTATTGAACAGATCTGCATAAACAACATGTGTTTCATAAGATGACATTTCCTTATCCTACTAGAAATGACTCATCTTGCTAACCAACAAAAGAACATACATTTGTAGTTGAAGAAAAGCCGAAAATGGACATCATAGCAATCGAGAATCAGAATGCTATTTACAGTTTAAAATAATGCAACATCTAACATACCACCCTACTAGCGTTCTCTTTTCTCTCCTCATTTTGGGATCCCAAGCCATCTTGATGAGCTACATCATATGTGGAATGAAGGCCAACGAACAGATAGTACAGAAGCATTACTGCGCTGCAAATGAAGAACCTTAAGAACGCCGTGCGACCCAAAGATCCAATAAGAGCGAGATTCATCCCTATAGACAGTGATGGGAGCCAGGGAACAAGAGGGACACCCCAAACTTTCGGCAATCGGTACTTGGGAAGGAACGACATAGCCAACGTGCTAAGGAACCAAATAGAGGCAGGAACAACATATTCTATCCATCCTTGCCTATCCAAATTCCAAACTACTGTCAATGCTATAGAAGAACCAAAGATCAGAAACAACAAAATCAGAAACTTGATATAATCGCTTCTTGGTGTTGTGTCCTTAACATAGTACCTCCTTACAAGTAATGCAACAGCCATAAGCATAAAAATGGAAAGTGTGCTGAATGAAAAAACAGTTGATAAGACATCCAAACTAGAGAAAAATGAAACAATTGCACTAGTTATGGTCGTCAAAAGTGTAGCATATACGGGAGTTCCCGTTTTCGGGTGAACCAAGGCGAAAAGGGGTGGAATCAAATGGGCTCTAGCAATCTGTGTGGTGTAGCGAGCTTGTCCCATAGATCCCACCAGCAAGCTTGTAGTCATTCCCTTGATAGCAACTATGCTAACTAAGTATTTAGCCCATGTCATCCCAATTTTATCAAATGCAACGGAAAAGGCTGCATTCCTATCTATCTCCGTATACTTTTGCAGCATTGTTAATGACAAGGCCATCAAGCAATAGATCACAGAGATCATAGACATGGATCCAATCAAGCCCACCGGTATATCCCTTGAAGGTTGCTTGGTTTCCTCAGCCATGGTGGCCACCATATCAAATCCAGTATAAGACCAGTAAACAACAGCTGCAGCTCGAAAAACACCCTTCGCACCAAAAGGGAAAAAGGGTACCAAATTTGAAGATTTCCCTCTCATAAATCCAACCACAATCACAAAGAAAATTAGGAAAGTACTAAGCACAGAAGTTATCCATGTCAAGAAAGATGTCCTCCTCGTTCCACTCATAGCAATACCATTAGCAACAAGAAGCACTACAACAGCAATTGGATCAAGAAGATTAAACCCTTCCGACAAGAAATTCACCTTAATCCGAAGAAAATCAGGGTTATCAGTGTTGATCATACTCGCAAAATAGGAAGACCAAGACCGACCGAGTCCAGCCGCACCAACAATCGCCTCCAAGAAGATATTCCCCGCGGCGATAAACGCAATAAAATCCCCCAATTCGATGCGAAGAAACGAGAAGGACCCTCCGGCGACGGGAATTTCAACAGCGAATTCAGTATAACAGAAGACAGAGAGCAACGCAGAGAGCCCCGAAACTACGTAAGAGACCACAATTGCAGGTCCAGCATCATCGCGAGCTTCGAGGCCAGTGATCGTGAAAATACCAGAACCAACAACAGAGCCAAAAGCGAGCCAAATCAAGTCCCACCAAGTGAGACATTTCTTCATCCCGACTTCGCTGACCTTAGGAAGTTCGAAGAGCTCATTGGCGTCGGAGGAACGGTCCAATAAACGGTCCTTGAGGCGAGAACACGTTTGCGACAACGCATATTTGTACGAAGAACAGTCCCGGAATGACTCTTCTGGAAAAACGTCTTGCTTGCTCCACCTCCTCCAGTAACTTCTCTCCACCGACGACGGCGGTTCATGTGGTGGCTCTGTCGTGGATTCGTCCATTCCGGCGATATTGTCGGTGAAGATGGATTGAAGTTTGATTTGACTGATTACGAGAAGGATCGCTGATTGTTAATGAAAAATATCCAATTTGTATATTTAAATAAAAAAAACAAACTATTTTCTTTTTTTCAGGAAAAAAAAATTTTTGATTTAATTTTCCTCGCGCTTAAAATATGGATTATTTTTTAATTATTAAAATAAATTTCGATTTGGCACACTTCTTTGGCAAAATTATCGGTTTGCCCATTTTATTTTGAATCTGGTCTATATTTCATCTACATTATTTTCTCAATATAATTTCATCAATTATCATTTAAAAATTGATAATTAATCGGTAAATCATTATTATTTAACGCAAAGAAAATTATAATTTCTAAAAAAAACAACAAAAATAATTTAAAATAATAATTTCTTATCCCTTCGACCAAGTCAATTAGTAGTTACTTATTCCCTATAATTGGGAGATACAAATTCCTTTTTATTTAAAAAATAATAATATTTAATATAATTTCAACAGCATAGTACAATAAAAAAAAATGTAGAAAATATTGATAATCTAACTTTATTAATTTAGACTATATTTAATTTCATGTGCTAAATAATTATAAATTTAATAATTGTGAGATCCGATGTCAGTTGAGGGTTTGGGACATTATAAATGGTTGACAATATATGGTAGGGGAGACATGAAGCTGTACTACTAGCACATATTGTCCTTTTTTTTATTTCCCCAAGGCTTTAAAACCTTTCTGCTAGTAAAAAGTTTCCACATCTTTGTTCTCCTCCCCAACTAATGTGGGATATCACAATCCACTCTCTTCGAGGCCCAGCGTCCTCGCTGACACTCTTTCCTTCCTCGAATCAATGTGAGACCGCCCCCAAATCCACTCCCTTGGGGACCCAGCATCCTTACTGGCACACCGCCTCGTGTCTACCCCCTTCGAAGAACATTGAGAAAGCTCGCACATCGTCTCTAATACCATTTGTAACAACCCAAATCCACCGCTAGCAGATATTGTCCTCTTTGGGTGGATTGTGATGTCCTACATTGGTTGGGGAGGAGAACAAAACACCAAGGGTGTGGAAACCTCTCCCCAAACCATTTTAAAGCTCGAAAGGGAAAGCCCAAATAAAACAATATTTGTTAGCAGTAGCTCTGGGCGCTTAGGTGGTGTGCTAGCGAAGATGATTATTAAATCCTCTTACAAAGATATAGAAACTTCTACCCAGTACACACGTTTTAAAACCACAATACGTAATGAGTTAAAAAACGAACAATTTCTATAAATGTTTTTAAATATTTATTCATTGACTTTTATATGGTCTGAGTAATTAAATTTTAAATTTTAAGGGCCATGTTTGGCAATTAATCATTTGTGAGGGGGAGAAAATAGGAGAAAAACGTCAAATTAAAGATAGACTTATTTAATTTCTAAACAATTATTTTAAACAAATTAAATCGTTAATATATATATAAAGGTAAAATATTGTGAATGTGACGAAATAAACAAATTTTTAATCAATTTATTAATTTATAAATTAAATGTTAGATATTAAAAAGGAAAATTATTTTCCAGTCATTATCTTTTCCATTTCAAACCAGCACTTCTCAATTTAAGAATATGAGACATAATATTTTAAAAAAAATTGTGCATTTTACGTTATATAAAAAAAAAAAAAAAAAATTGGGGTGCCGCATTGGCCTCTTCGCCGACCAAGTTGCCGCCGCCCTTCCTGCCAAAATTGGCTCCTTCGTCCAATGCGACTCCCCGACAACCCTTCTTGCTAAAATTGGTTCCTTTGCCCAATGTGCCGACTCTTCTGGCTTCAACATTATCTTTGTCCTTGCTCTAGGTTTCCCCTTCTACTCCTTGTGGTTAGACATAATCTCACCAGAGCCAAGACGGCATCGTCGCTAAGCGACACAATTCTTCTTCATGGGTTAGACATATTCTCACCAAAGCCAAGGCAGTATTGCTGCTCTCTACAATTTTCAATGGCTAAGAAAGCGCTCTGAAACAGGTTGACATCTTCACGAAAAGTGTTTCTCAACCTATTTGAATTTTTCAGATTCAAGCTTCACGTTCGTTTAAATCCGACGCTTAACTTGCGGTGGGGTATTAAGGATTCGGGTTAGGTTCTCTGCTATTGCTAGTTGCTAACTTTTAAATTTTTTTTTTTTATTTATTCACCATTCATAATTATTCGCTATAATTTTATATAAAAAATATTAAAAGTGGACAAATCTATAATTATAATCTATAATTATTAAAAAAATAAATAAATTCATCGACAACAACATTATTTGACAATTTAACAAAAATTGGTTAGTCTAACTTATATTATAAAATTAAAAAATAATATAAATTAACCGTTTAACCTAACATAAATAGATGTACATTTTTTTAGGATAAATTATAAAATTAAAAAAAAATTAATTTAAAGAAATTATATATATATAAAAAAAAAACTACCTCGAAATCATATTAAATAATCTATCATAAATCATATTTTAAAATTAAAACAAAATTTATAAAGTGTGATTTGTCGGTTTATAAATATCCTCAATGTCCTTTAATAAACTCGGATGTCCACTCTAACCGAACTTTATACATGATATAGATATAGTAAACTCATATTGTCACACTGACAAACCTTTATACATGATAGAATTATCAATGTTATTTATAAGTTTTATTTGGTTTCGGGTCCACCCGAGTTTTTATCCTATGAATCAAAAATCGAACCGAGTCACCTTGAATTCAGAAAAAACAACCCAACCCAACTCTTATAATTCGGGTTAGATTGGTCCAGGTTGTCAGGCTATATCCACCCCTAGTATCAATTTTTAACCCAAACTTTTAATTTCATCACATTTTACCCTAAACTTAACTAAACATTATAATTTAATTTTATCATGTTAGACCATTGTAATTTTTATTTCATAATTTATAATTTTTAATAATTTTTTTTTAAATCTTATCAATTTTATAAAAGGTTTAAAAATAATAATATTTAAACAAAAATTAACCAAATATAACTCAAATTCAATTAGAAATCAACCGAGGAGTGTGAAATGAATTAGGTTGGACAAACTTGTTGTTCAAGCAGCCAATTTTTGTTGACAAATTTGACAGTTGAAAAAGGGTATTTGGCCCAATTTCTGCGTCCAAATCTGCTATAAAAAGGGTTAACAACCATTTTAGGCCCTGAATCTCGTCGCGTCGCCGCCGCTTCCACAACATATCTCTCAATCGCTGCTTTGGTGGTATGAACACTACTTTTTCTTTCCATCTTTGCTTTGTAATCTTTATTTCGGTCGTAATTTTGATGCTTGCTGGTTGCTGAACCCGAAAACTAGCTGTTGTTAGTGCTGATGTTGCATTCGGGAAATCGTAGATTAGTTTTTATCTGAAACAGAGGAAAGTTCATGAGTTGTGTTGAGCCATAAAGCGTTCATTTGATTAGGAGCATTTCAGGGTAATGTCTACTTAAGATTGGGAGATGATTGTATTGTTGGTTTAGGGCTATTTGAATCCATTTAGCGTCAATAATGATCTATAATTAGTTTCAACAACTTTATATGGTTGCTTCTGTGTTATAAAATTAAGAACGAGGAGAAGATGATGATTGAAGCAGGTACTTATGATAATCGGGCATATCTTACTGTTCTCCTGGTGCGGCTAAGTGTAGTTGTGCCGAGTTTCAAGGATATGTCTGTATGATTTACAACACTGCTGTCTGATTTATTCTCTGTTCATTATTTCTTATGTTTAGTGGCCAAAAAAATGGCCTGATCTTTTCTGGACAAGTCCTATTGGTTATAACTTCAATTGTTGAAGGTTTAGTTGATTTTGAGTTACATCTGGATTTAAATCTCCTAAGCTGAATTTTCATCTATTGTCTAAGTAATGAAGTTGTACTAGGTGCAGCATTTTGATGTTCATGGAAAGGGAAATAGGATAGGTTTTGAGAATTGGGTGAGGGATGGTTGCGAGATGTGAGATCTCACGTCAGTTGGAGAGGGGAACAAAACATTCCTTATAAGGGTGTGGAAAGCTCTCCCTAGTAGACATGTTTTAAAACCGTGAGGCTGATGGCAATATATAACGGGCAAAAGCGAACAATATCTGTTAGCGGTGGGCTTGGGCTGTTACAAATGGTATCAGAGCCAGACACCGAGCGATGTGCCAACGAGGACGCTAGGTCCCCAAGGGGGAGGGGATTGCGGTGGGCTTGAGCTGTTACAAATGGTATCAGATCTAGGCATCGATGATGTGCCAACGAGGATCGGGGCGGGGATTGTGAGATCCTATATTGGTTGGAGAGGGGAACAAAACATTCCTTATAAGGGTGTGGAAACCTCTCTTAGTAGGCAACGTTTTAAAACTGTGAGGCTGGCGGCAATACGTAACGGGCCAAAGCAGACAATATTTGCTAGTGGTGGGCTTGGGCTTGGACTGTTACACAAGATTTGGGAGCAATTTCAATTAGCCATCTAGTTTTGGACATTATCCCGTTAACTTTTACATGATGTTGTTATATTTTTGTACAACTATGCAGGTTTCAGTTTGAGCACGCTTGCAATGGGGAGAAGACCGGCTAGGTGTTACAGACAGATTAAAAACAAACCATACCCTAAGTCTCGATTTTGTCGTGGTGTCCCCGATCCCAAGATTAGGATCTATGATGTTGGCATGAAAAGGAAAGGAGTTGATGAATTTCCCTTCTGTGTCCACCTTGTGAGTTGGGAGAAAGAAAATGTGTCAAGTGAGGCTTTGGAAGCAGCTAGGATTGCCTGCAATAAGTATATGACCAAGTTTGCTGGGAAGGATGCGTTCCATTTGAGGGTTCGGGTTCACCCGTTCCATGTTCTACGGATTAACAAGATGCTTTCGTGTGCTGGGGCTGATAGGCTCCAAACTGGTATGAGAGGTGCATTTGGCAAACCACTAGGAACCTGTGCGAGGGTGGACATCGGTCAGGTTCTCCTTTCGGTTCGCTGCAAGGACAACAACGGACAGAATGCACAGGAGGCTCTCCGCCGAGCTAAGTTCAAGTTTCCTGGTCGTCAGAAGATCATTGTAAGCCGAAAGTGGGGGTTCACTAAATTCAGCCG